TCTGTTTTTTTAAGAAATGCCCTCATTTCTGAACTCTCAGGCTACACTGCAGTCCCGGATCACCAGAGGCAAACAGTGGTAAAATAATACAACATCTTTCATCCAAACAAGGTAGCATTAATAAAAAAACTTTATCAGAAGGCTGGTGATAGCTAAAAGGGAAACTAATGATTATCAAAGAGTTAAATAATTGTTAATGAGTCACATGGCTACTTCTTTTTCTTTGTTCCATCTACAGAAGTTTGCAAATTATGGAGGAAACATTCTGAAGTGTTGACTTTCTGGAGAGATACCTGCCCACACAATATGAGCACTTGCATATCATTAAATCTCACAATTTAACAAAAAATAGTCGCTTCAATTCTGCCCACAGTAGGCAGGTATAGATTTTAGTAGTAAATCTGCGTCGGTCACTATTTCAAATCTGTAGTATGGAAAATTATACACATACAGGATAAATGGTGAAAACTAACAAAGCCATACACCCACCACTATTAAAGTATGAAAAAACCCACTTTTATAAAGAAATCAAACTCCTTGCATCTTTTTATTTTGCTACTTCACAAAAAATCCCACCCCGACAGCAAACTTAGTGAACTATGTGTTAATTCTTACCAAGTAGAAACGTTTTTTATGTTGCAGCCCAAATCCCCCAAGCTAGGAGATAAGAATTCCAGCCAGATAAGAGGCTTAATTATGAAGCGAATGAGTTGTTTCTTTGCAGTTGTCTGTATTATCTTTGATTCAATATTCTGCTTCGTGCCTCCCTATTTCAGTCTAATTCCTTTTTATTACTTCACAGAATCACAGAATATCAGGTGGGAAGGGGACTTTGGAGGTCAACTAGTCCAAGCCCTCAAGCAGGGCTACCTAGAGCAGTTTGCCCAGATCACTACTGAATGTGTCCAAGGATTGAGACTGTGCAATCTCTCGGGGCAACCTGTGCCAGTACTCAGTACTATATATATACATTTTTTTTTATTTCTGAGGAAAAATAAAAGCAGAAACTCAGTCACATGCCACGTAGAAAGATAAGCTTTGCCATCTTTCTACACAATGAGAAGAAATAGAATATTTATAAGGGAGAATGTTGTCTTCAAATCTATTATTTGTCTTGCTCCTCTTTTTTTCATTAAAAGTAAACATGCAAAAGGGACATAAAGACACTAAATATAGTACAGATACTGCTTGTGTGTTCCTATTAAGTGACTGACAGTGAAGGTCTTCCCCAACACTAAGGAAATCACATGTGCTACACACACAAGGTTGGCAAACCCTTTCTTCGCCAGCCTTCCAAGCAGCAGCCAGACAAGAAAAGTCCATTTTCCATCTTATCACTCAAGCTATGTCCTTTCTCGGCCATGAAATTAAGGCAAACTTTCCCCAGGAGAGCTGATGGAAACTATCAAGACCTGGAGGTGGCAGCAAAAATACGGAATTATCTCAGTTGTGGGACTTTATTCTCCTTAAGTTAGTAGTTCCTTTTCCATTTGACAAGTTTTTCATCAGTATTTTGTTTTGGGGAAAACAGTTTTCTGCTGTCGTGAAGGCAGCTAGCTGATCCAAAACAAGTTCAGACACTTGATTCCAAAGTGTCACAACTCGTGATTCGTCAGGCTTCTGAGTCTTAGGATCCCACAGTTAGGATGTCTCTCTGAACTGAATTATGGTAACCACAGTCAGAAGGGCTAAACCACAGCTTTTTGAAGACACATTCATAAAAGACGTACATGATATTCAGCAAATCAAGGAAATCTTACATCACCGTGTATCAATGAGCCCGTGATGAACCGATGGATTACACTGGCCAGAGGCAAAGCCCATTTGCCCAGCTTTCCCCATCTCAAAGGAACCAAGTAGCTTGAAAAGGGTCATTCGACAACTTCTCTCTTTGCATGTTTCGTCTTATCTTTTAAGAAGGGAAAATTTTCAAGGGCAATGCTCTTGAAACGCTGACTGAATCCTAGTAATTCCCTGTGTTCCCATACAAACGCCTCAGGAGGTTTGTAGCGATAGTGAAAACGAGATCAAAATTCTTCTCTCTTGACTACAACTGACTAAATGTCATTCTTCATTCTCCAGCCGCAGATCTGCACACACTGACGTTCTCTGTTGCCCCTCAACAGTTGGAATAAACCTTGAGTTTAGGCATTATTCATCCAACTCCAAATTTCAAAACTCTGCCTCACCACAACTGCTGCTCCCACGTTCTGGTATTCAGATATTCAGTGTATTTGGTTTCCATATCCACCCTGCTGCAGTGGCATGCATTTCTTAGCCCACAGGCTCTCATTTATTTTTTGGGCATGAGATCCTTTCTGTCTTTCATTATTTAAGTAGCCAACTACTTTTTTTTTTGGCCCCCAGGAGCGTGTAAGACCCAAATGAGGATCCAGCAAAGCTGAACACCGGGAGGCTTGTACTGAGAAATTGAAAACCAGGATTGGATTTCAGCTAAGTCACCGTGTTGTGACAGCGGCTTCTCAAAATGCTTCATAAATTCATTTCTCCCATCTGCACCGATGCCTATTGCTAACATATTTTGACATGCTAGTTGCTTTCTACTCCTTCAAAAATGGGAGAACCTCCAAAGAGTCCAAATTTCAGGCTTTCTCCCTCCTCCAAATTTTTCAGAAGAAGACCACCAGTCCAAAAGAGAAGTCTGGGAGAATCAACGCTTGGCGTGAGCATTGAGTCTCCCAAAGACTAGCAAGAGGCATATTGGGGCACCAGTAGCACTGCTAATGCAAAAAAAAAAGGCACAATAATTAAATTGCCCCATTTTTCAAAGGTTTAGTTCTGTAATGCAGGCCAAATCGAGGGCGTGACAAACGCCTGTGTTTGACTACTTGGTTATTCTCTAACTCCTCTCCCTTGCTTCCAGCTTGGATCTTATAAACACAAAACTTCAAGAGAGTGTAAAGCTAAGGATGGGTCCAGCAGCAGATTCTCCGACTAGGTGGGCTTTTTCGTCCTTCCTTAACTTAACCTTATACTTGAGCAGAAAACATGGCTCAGTCCAAACGTGCATTTAATTCTGCCCAACTGTTTATTTGGTGAAGACAATCAATTAGCCGCCAAGCCTGACCTTGAGTACCTCCACCACATCTTAAATCAGGACATCTGGTCTTAAATGGTTTGTGAGGACCCTGAAAAGTACAACAGCATTTGCCCGAAGACCTGGTGCCGCATCCCGGAGCTGAGGACCATCCTGCACGTAAAAGCGAGGGTCCCCCGCAGCCTCAGTTACCCCTCACCGGTAAATGACACTAGCACTGCTCACTAATTAAGGTCACGTTAAATAGATAGAGGTCCCTTTGCCTTTAGAAATGCTCCCTGGTTTTTCAAAGGTTATTGGCAGGGCGAGCAACATAAGAAAACCTTCCCACCTTCCTTCGCATTAAACAAGCAGAATGCAGAAGTGAAATGGGTGTTGCCTTGGTACAAATCAAGTAGCAATTCTAGCATCCAAGCTTCGTTTTCCCCACAAATATATAACTCCCAGACATACTCATTTTACCCTCGAAAACACGAAAGCATTGAGAAATGCCTCAGTTTTTCCACACCAGGTTGCTGATAGAGAGAACCTCCCAGCGCAGGGTACGAGGGGCCTCTTGTGGTGGCTTGCTCAGAAGCCAGGCTCCAGTGGCAGAGAAAAAAAATTAAATATATCCAACTTCTCTCTCTCCTTAGAGGAACCTAGCTCGTTTAGTACATGAGGCATTAATTCATAACCCAGTATTGCAACCTAGTTTATCATTCTGGTCCCCAGCTACGAACGCAAGGAGCCTAAAAATAAAGCCGTGCGCTCTCAGTAATATTTTAGTAAATGTTGTCAAACCTAATGCAGCCTGCTTCAAAAATAATAGCTGCTGGGAACAGCTCACCTCGCTGTGATGGAGGAAGGAGTCAAGTCATCCCCATAAGTCCAAGACCCGAGTTCTTGGTACAGAAAAGCTCTGTTGGATCCACGTGCTTTACGGGAGCGGCTTTATGCTCCGGCTTTGCAACTGAAGGCAGAGTGAAACTTAAAAAACCTCTCTTCCTTGCACAGGGGCTCTGTACGCTTTAAGAACCCTGCTAGCAAGGATTTCTAGACTTTTGTAAGAATTTAGAAACCCACCACATGCTGTCCCATGCCTGCCAACAAATCTTCCTGCAGCTGACCAAGATGTACGCCTCGTGAGGATCCAAACCCTTATCTGCACACCTCAAACGGTGCTTTTATTTGGCTCTTCAACTCACACACATCAGGGCAACTTCTACCTCCTGTAGTTGTTTTTTTTTTTTTAGCTACTGAATTATTTCATTTGCTCTAGTCTAGGTTTCCCTGCAGATGGATGTATTCCATCACAAAGCTGAAAACAATACTTACAGGCTCTACAACTACCTGCTGATTTATTGATCTAAGAGATCCCACTGCAGAGACAGTCACGGAGCCCCTTGTTTTTAAAAACCGAGCTCAATATTTGGGTTTCTAGTTTAGAGTCACTTTAAAAAGTGAAGTACAACCGCCAGTTGTCAGCAGCCCCCCAGTCTGCAAGGTGACGTGTGTATTTACTCCAAAATCAAGTTAAATTTTAAATCCCTAGATCAACTTCTCTAAGTTTCTTTTAGGGAAAAAAACACTCCAGCACCTAAAAACCACATTAATTCATAGGAAAACCACCACAATTTGGGTTTTTTCCTAAAGAACGCAAAGTGCTAAACACATCTGAAGATCTCTGCTTTCCGCAGAAGAACAAGCCATCGTTTGGAAACAATTTTTCCCCCACCAACAGCATTCCAATGCCCAATATTGCCGAGATCCACATCTAACGCACACTTCTGGTTGTACCTACACAAGACACATCTCTCTGCACGCTCTTTTGAGACACCGCTGCTCCCCTAGATACACCCTTTCCACGACTAGCCCGTAAACTAGCGCTCATTTAGCCAAACTCCAGGAACCTGACAAAAAAAGCCACAAAGGGGAAAATGAAGGTGATTGTGCCACTCACCGGCGTGCTGCTGTCGGAAAAAGTGTTCATGCTGATGGACCTGCTCATCTTGCCCGAGGAGAGGGATGGCGGCGAGGGGCTGCGCTTGTCCAGCTGCTCATGGGGTGGCAGGTCCTGGCGCTGCTGGTACTCGCGCCATGCTCGCTGAATGCTGTGGCCAACACCGAGGGAAGGCAACAAAAAAAAAGATGAAAAAAAAATATTTGAGGTGGGATTCGGCGGTTTTCTCTCTTTTTTTGTGCATTTTGCTAATTTAGGTAATGATCACTCATAGGCACCCTTTGCAGGTCCTATGTTAGCCGCTACTCGTACAACTTGAGGGGTCGGGTAGAAGAGATTCTTTATTTCAAATCCCTAAACCTTCAGATGTGGCTTAAATTTGAGGCTGTACGTAACTCAGCCATTCTCTTATAGTTTGCAAACAAACTAAAAATAGGTGGTTATCTGTTTAAAAGAATGAACAGCCTTCAACATACTCACATCAGCTTTCAGATTATAATGCAAACAGGGTTGGAAACTTAGAGTCAGATGGGTATCCTTTAAAATCTCCTCTGTCGTGGGTAGCTGGGGACTTAAAACTTCCTCCAAAGCAACGCGTGGGAATTGCTGTAGAGGCTCTGCTTCCGAACTCCAGGTTTCTAAAACCTGATGTGAAATCCTGTCAAGAAATTCCATTTTCTGCGCATGCTGGTGGCCGGGGAGGCTCTCACCAGGTGGCAGTGCCGGACCGCCTGTGCCTTTCCGAAGGTACCAGGGAGAGATGCTGGAAATTAAAACTGTTCATAATGGTAATGGCATTAATGCGGGGTATGTGGGTGCCTGCGCACAGGGAGTCTGTGAACTCTGCAGAAAAGCACAGCTAAATTCTGACCCGAGACCCAGCAGCGTCGCTGCCACACAATGAGCTAGAGACAGCAGCTTTTAGGATTTTTAAGCCACCGGGATTTTACTCACTGGGCATGTCAAGTTAGTAAAACCTTCAGCGTGTCTTCAGTAGGCAAAGTACCTCGAGTTCTGCTTAAGTTGGTCTCAGTAGTCCTGAGAATATTGTGGGGGTTTTTTTAATACCTCGAAATTCTTGGCTTCACCGGAGGAGGACAAAGCTGGGCACCAGGACACCGACAACCTCTCACAGGCTGAGAGCTCCACACAGAGGGACGTGCCTCTTGGCATCCAATTTTTCCTGCATTACTGCATAATATGGACCAGCAGTAATTTTGTATTTATGCTTACTTGTACTTTCTATTTTAAAGCTTGAGAATATACTGAGGTTAAGTCATAGCTAACCTTCTAGAAAATTTATTCTTTCATCTGGCTTATATTTGCATGACTAAAAGATACTGGCTGGGTTTTAATTTGAAACTTTATGTCCTTTTAATATTTTAATATAACATTAATATTTTAATGCTCTGCACAGCGAGTTAGCTGTAGCTTTTCAACTGAAGGCAAAATTCAGTGTGTAACGTGGTAACACGTACATCTCTGGGTAAAACCGATGTCAAAAAAAATGATGCCATGGAGTAGCTGAGGGCTTTCAACATCAGGGTGTTCATATTTGTTGACGTAAGTGGAAAATTTTTCTCAAATTATTCTCTCTGCTGGGAAGTCCAGGGGCACCGTCTTGGTGCCACCTGGATGGAGGTAGCACCAGGGCTGGAGGACCAACGCTGAAAGAGGCACAAAGGAGGGTCCTCTGCTCCGAGATACACGTGTGTGAGCTTTAAGTTATAGCCCCAGTGGTACCACGTGTCATGATGCAGCGCAGTCAGGCTTTTGAGAATCCCTGACCCCACGGTAAACCATCCGACGTGTGGGCAACGTGTTACAAAGGCTGAAGTTACTGCATTTAGAAGTTGGGAAGCTGGTTACCAGAACACGTCGACGCTTATCTCCTCCTTCCAAGTGGTGCAGCCAGGTGTCACACACGTGCCTTGGCTGAGGGCTAGCACTTGCCTCACTTTCCAATCAAATCCAGATTTCTTAGTGCCATGGAGCTCTGCTGCACCCCCAGCCCAGGGATCCTGGCCCCCTCAGACTTAACACCTCCATCCCCATGCAAACCCAACATTGAAGTTTAGCATTTGAAACTTGGTTCAAAGAGAATGTTCACGCGCTTAAAAGCAGAGAAGAGCTTGGCTAAGTTGCTAAATTGAGGGGTTTTTAAACTCAAAGCCACACAGAAATCTGCAACATTTTGAGATCTGCAGTTCAGGAGTCAGGCAAACTTGGCTGCATTTAAAGGCAGAAAGTACAACCTTTGTTACTTACATTTTCACTTTTGATTCCAAGGGCTGTAAGTTGATATGGTATTTTTCGATATTATTTTCTTCATCCATAGTAAGCTGATGGCTATGGAGAAAAAAAAAGAAAAGAAGAAAAGAAAATGGGTTTGCTGCATCTCACCATGATATTTTTTTGCAGTCCTTGTAAATTAAATCTGAAAATTCGACAAGAACATACAAGAGCTGCTTATTATAAGGTGTTGCTGTCTTTGGAGGAAGGTGTCTGGGTCCCTGTGCCCAACCCCATTTGATTGTTAACAAAAAGTATGAATTTTTGATCCGGTTTCCAGATCAGAGTCTGCCTGAGTCCTTGCACTAAAACCTTCCAGGTGCCCCAACTCCGGAGACAGGCACACCCAGCAAAGAAGCCTCTGCAAAAAAACCAAACCCAAAACAAAACGACCCACACTGGCAAATACAATAGACGTTCCTGCTAAATTAACTTTCATCCCCGGGGCTATGTTTGAAAAGCTGGAGCGTAGAATGGAAAGTAATGCCGGTAGCAAATGAATTACATCAGCAAAAGCCATGCAGGAATATGAAAAAAAAATTCTTTGTAATAAACGATGACCGAGGAATTGGTGCTGCAAACCAATTGCTTTGAGAAAGCAATTTTAAAATGCTAGAAGATAAAAACTGAACATCCTGGGACACTGCTTTGGATGGGACCGGCAACATGCATGAAAGATCTTTGCATGAAAATTTGTAAGATTAGACTCCAACCTGTGGAGTTATTTTGAGATTTTACTGGACACTTAATTACATCATTCAATCAGCAGCAGTTTTCAGAAATTATCCTCCTGTAACTAAAGAGTCGTTTATGGGAGAGATGCTAAACTTCGAATATTTAGTGTATTACCACACAAAAAATCCAGCCTACAAGAAAGAGACTGTCTCTCAAAAAGGGCTTAAAAAAAGCCATTTCACTTTGTCACGTGTGAGATATTGTGGAAATCGAACGTTTACCTTTGAAGTAAGTCTTTGCCATCGTTGACCTGCTCCAAGGTGTGCTGGAGCCTTTTGAGTTCTTCCTGCAAGGAGAGTATAAAAAAAAAAAACAAAACGCATTTCAATGTACTTATGGGAAGCCCTTGGCTGCCCTTGGAGATTCTTGCTCAACCTCTAAAGATCGTGAACCAACCTCTAACAAAACAGTCCCTCAGATAATGCCTATGGGATTGCTTTCAAGTTTGAGTATCCAAAAATAACTACAAAGAAACTAATATATTTATCTGTATGTCCAGCACGAGTTTGAAAGAAAATATCAGACCTACGAAAATAACAGGCAGAGCAAAAAAAGAAACTGTTCTTTCACGCCTTAGCTGTGTGGCTGCTTTGATTTGAGAGAAGATGGTCTGGTAAGAGGCAAGTGAGCATCAGCTCCGACTTTCAGCCGCTTCTCTTTGTTCTGCAATCAAACACTATTCAGTCTCATAATTAAGAGAGTCACTGGCTGAGATTTACAGGCCAGTGCCTTTACCAGCGTATTTGCATCAGGATCCTGTTTCAGTAGCGGAGATGTCACAAATTTAACTGCAGACACATAGCTGGGGTTCCCTGCATCTGCACTAATGTCCCAAGAAAAAAATTACCCATGGTGCAACAATTTGACTTGAAAAACTAAATTGTGCCTGGCCGGCAAGGTTTTATCGCTCAGATGGAGTGGAGGAGAACCTGGCTGCAAAGAAGCACGTGCTCCAGGGGATGCAATCCCTGGGCTGAGCTTTGCACGCCCTTGCAGGGCACAATCCCGCAGAGCCCTGGCATCGCTGGGGGACACACACACACATGGAGCACGGGTGCCCAGTCTCCTTAAAAGCTGGTGAAACACTGAAACCTGTCCAGCATGTCCTTGTGACACAACGCAAAAAGCATGAGCACCCCGAGGTGCAGGGATGCATCTTCAGGTTTGCATTGATACATCAGCTGTTTGGGAATTAAGTGACTCTGGGAGATGAGGAGTCTCTGTGAAGCACAAAAGCGTCAGCTCGAGGCTCCTTGTAGCTCAGTAAGTTGGGAATCGGAAGCAAAAGATACTAAGAGCAAGGAAGAAGGGTGATTCACTTCACAGCTGCCTTGCACGCAGATGCAGGATTCCCAGGAAGGCCAAGATCATGGAAAAGGCAAAAGAAGGACATTCTTGTCTTGTGTGTCTTATCTGACCTGGGGAGGAATCAAAGAATTTTATTTCCAATAAGCCAGTCGCAATCTCCAGGAGCACAGCGGATCAGCCAGCTCTACCTCCTGCTTTCCCAAATAAAGCCCGTTTTGTGACACGTTTGGTGGCACTTTTTAATCCCGTACAAGATTCTGCCCCCTTTGACGCGAAACAAGATCTCGGGAGCTGATTTACTCCTAACTCAGCTTTCATTTCCTCCCAGCCTTGGAAGGACCATTACCACAAAATATGTTTTGTGCACATACTAGATTTGTCAAGGCGACAGGTTAGGTGGTTCCGCAGTCTTTGCCCCTCGTCAGCTGTGAAACTTGTTTTTATTTTCGCCTTCCAGTTTGGGGGTTTCGGTTTCCTTTGTTGTGGGTGGTTTGTTTTTTTGTTTGTTTGCTTGGTGGTTTGTGTTTTTTTTTTGCTTGCTCTGAGGAAGATCCTTTTCTGGCATATTAAAACCAAGCAACTTTCAAAATTGCTTTCTTTGAAGCACAGTTCAGTTCAGAGGATAACCTTTTCTCCTCCTTATTATTCTACTGGTCATTTTTTCAGCATACCCCAGAGCTATGCATGGTAATTTAGAATGTGAAAACAATTTGCAATTGACTTTATATATAGCTCCGGGTGACAAAACTTGCATGACTTACATAAATCATTTCTTGTGTTTGACATCATTTTCCATTAACCTCAGGGTGAAGACAGAACAAAAAAAAAAAAAAGGAAAACCCAAAATTGGTTGTGACATTTTTGATTATTCAGTCTTTCAATTAAACATCACTGGACAGTCTTTATAAAAGCCGTAATATGAGGCAACCACAGTAGGGGCATGGTAATGTTTGCGTAATTGGGAAGAGAAGGAGACATAAAATCTATACTAATTTCAGTTTTGCATCATTAACCATGAAGTATCGATTATTGCTCCTTGCAACAAAATTTATGAAGCTAAGTGATGCTGCTGCGCCCACCGAAAACGATTGGGATGCTTTGCCCCCAGCACAGGGACGGCCGGGGTGCTGCTCTCCCAGTCCCACAGCCTTGGGAGACGCATCGCCCCAGGAGTGCCCCAGCTGCAAACTCAAACTTCAGAAAATTAAATTGGAAGAGATCCGTCCTTCCCATTGGAACACGGAGTGAATTATGATGCCTCTATAAACCTTGTTATAATTTGCTGCCGTTTTCTTTTTCCTCCTCCTGTTGAACACAGACACGAACAGCGATGGGGTAACTCTTCGAGATACCAGAGGAAGAAGAAGCCATGAAGTCTTGAAGTGCAAGACCGACGTTAAGAACCAACTAGTGTCTTTTTCTAGTCTTTAACATGTACATTCTGTTTATGTGTTGATTACTTTTCAGCCTGTAGATCTGTACTTTTAGGAAATTATTTCCAAGAAATGCTGCAGCCTTACTGGAAGGGCAGGAAAGACCAAGAGGGTCTATAGAATCTATAGGCTCTTGCCAAGGAGAAGCCTGTGTAGAAGAGCCACATTAAGCTGCACTGAGCTGGCTCCCAGCACTATCCACAAGTTATAAAATCCCATTTTGGTTTTGCTGTTGGTATTTCATCAGAGCAAGAAGATTTCGAGTCCCTCCACCTTTTCACACTGCAGATGGGTCGTGCTTGGCTCCTCGCAGCCCAAGGAGAGGCTCTGCGTGGGCACATCCAGAGTCATGATGTAGCAACCTGGCCCAGCTGCCTCCAGCAGGTTGCAGGGTCTTTTTTTTTAATGGAGGGATCCAGAGGTTGACGTAGACTTTGGTCCTAGTTTGAACTTGCACAGAAGTGCCACCTCGCGTTCGACCAGCCCTGGAAATTGTGAACCAGCCATCCGAGGCGCATTCGGATGCAGAGGAGCATAAATGTAAAACAAACTAAATGCACTAGTCCCTAAACTCCTTTTGAAGAAGTCCATCTCAAAAACCAGTTATTAGTGCAAATTCTAAGGAAAAAAAGTCTGCGGACACTAGATCATACCTAGATTAATATTTACCTCCACGAGCAGGCAATGATTCTTTTCTTGTTGCTATACCCAAAAATATTCATTCAGGTCAGTGGCACTATTTATACCTGAGGGTTTAGACTAACACAGAAATCGGGGCAAAGGCCACATATTAAAAATTAATTTTCAAAATACCTTTTGGACATGCATGCTCTGTATCTCTGCCTAAGAGCTCTGTCGTTTGCTGCTTCCTGAGAGGTCAGGGAGACAGAGATGGGATGAGAAAGCTCCAATTCCAGTAGAACCGCAGCCCAAAAATAGCAATAATAAGGTGGGATTTTTTGTTTCCACCTTATAATGAAGAATGAGTACAGCAGTTAGTCAAACATGTCAGCTTTGGGCAGTTTTCTCTTTCACTGATGTTTTTCCAGTGCTTTTCAAGACACCTCAGATGCTTTTGGTGACTGAAAACAGCCCATTGCCAATGCTGTCCCAAGCTGCTTACACCCATCTCTGTTATTGCCCATATTTTTAAAACCTGTTTCCCATTTAACAAGGAATTTCCCCCCCACACACACACTTTTTGTGCCTCTTGGGTATATTAATTTCATTATTTTTTTCATTTTATTCATTTTCATTTATATTTTGCCCTGCATTCCCAGGGAAGACCGTGCCCCCCTGTATCCAGCAATGCAGAGTCCGTGTTTCCGCCTGATGAGGTCTGACAAGCACTGTGTTAATTAAGCCTCTTAGCAGGATACAATGAGCCTAAAGAGGATAGGAAGATCAGGATCCTTTGCAGTGAAGGCTTTTACTCGCTGCTATTTTGGGCACCCATTCACAGGAAAACACGCAGGATTACACGAGCAGCTCCCATTCCCTCTCGGTGCACAACAAGGAGGTTTGTCCCCAAAGCAGCACCTCTGGTGGCACCTGTGTGCCCAGTATGGGGGTACATCAGAGGCACAAGGAGCCCCAGTTTGGGAAAACATAAGGCCACCTGCATTAATTCACATACCAGGGATGTGTGGAGCCTTCTGCATCCTATTTCACGGGCTAGAATACAAAAGCTAATAGTACACCCTGAATAACCTGAGCATTTGGGTAATTAAAAGTCTGATGGTGACCACCACTTCGTATCTCGAAACACAAAGGACATGTTGGATGATAGTAGCGTTTTATATTGGGTGTGGGAGGGGGAAGATCCTATTTTATTCGCTCTGGCAACACGATAGGGACCTTGAACACCAGCTATGAGCGTGAACTGCACCAGATGAACACAGCTCAGGGACTCAGCCTTTGGTGCGATTTGCCAGATCATTTTACACCAAAAAAAATTGTGTTGTCAATAGAGTTACCCAAACAAGTTTCACATTCCCATTCAGAAACAAAATATGAATTAGGATGGAACAAGTGAGTTACTGCAGGGAGACGTTGCTCCCGGTGAGCAGGGGGTGGAGGCGTGCAGGCTCTGCCCAGGCACTCGTCTTCCCCAACAAGCCAAAGAAGGCGTGAACCAAAACCTGAGCACTGCTCAAGGAAAAAGCATGTCACGCTGAACAGAAAAATACCAGGCTGGAAAGAGGTTACCACTAATTAGAGCGCCACTGGGATGAGCATTAAGCATCACGGCCGTTCAGCACAAACGAGCGCGCGCTGATGCTGCAGCGAGGTTTCTGAGGATCTAGCTGATAAATGGAGCACAAACAGGAACAGGAGCTATTAGGCAATTAGCTCCCACAGTTTAGTGCTCATGTTTCCATTATTCCGGACACTTAAGAGATACTTCACTCAATATGCACTTTCTTAGCTTATTGAAAATCAAAGTTATGCTTCTAGGTCCAGCTTAGGTTATTCTCTGACAAGAAGGACCACGGTGGTTTCCGCTGTTCTCCACCACAGGCCAGCTCTCAGGGAATTTTTCCCCAAAGCAAGTTTCCTGTAATTTTACTACCTGATATCTTTACAGAACGTGGTCTAATTTACAAAGCTCCCTTTAGGTCCTCTTTACACTATGACTCGGTTGACAAGTCTTTTGTGGCTTCTTACCAGCTCATTTTGGTGTGTTTAGGAAAAAAAAAAAGGTACGAGAGGTTTCTCCCCTGTTGTATCAGAAAAAGGGTAGTTGGACTTCTCATCCAAGTACTCTGAAACCTCTGTGCTGGTTTTGACTCCTTTCAGATTGACTTCTGAGGTTTTGCACAGGAGCTCACAACGGAGCTTGGGCTACAAATTTGGGATCATTTGAATCAGAGCTTAACTCATTAAAATTCCCAGGGGATGCTTTTGCCTCCTGTTTCACAGGACAATTACATCACTTCATAGATGGATTGGTAATATTTTCATTTTCTTCATGTAAAGCCCCTCCTCCCTTTTTATACCCTAGGGACATAATATCAATTTGTTTCTCCTCCCAATCTTGTAAATCATGACATTGCTCTCTTCCCACCCATCACTGAATCAAAACAGGACTCCATACAAAACTTCATGGACTAAGCCTAACATAGGGAACAAAAGCAGAAAGTCTATATTCACATATTTGAATGGAGCTCATGCCTTACCCCTTGGCTATGATCCTGGCTGCATGAGGATGCCCAGGACAGCTGATATATTAATTCCTCTCACAAGCGGGTGTAAATGGCTGGAAGGGAGATGCAGCAATGCTGGAGATGTCTCCCAGGGGATGGGAGCACTCACAGGATGACCTGTTGAGCTCTTCTCCACTTTCTGCGCCATCAATAAATTGTTTTCTTTTCCTTCCTTCAGCTCTGCCCTCAGGAAGAATAATCTATCGCACTACGGCTACAGAACATTATTTCATAGTTACAGCAGCTCTGGAAACGTTGCACAAGGATGAATACCATTAAAAGCCAAGTTAGATTCCTTTTAAAAAGCCTCTTCTTTCTGATGCTGTCACTGCGGTCAGAGCTTTCAACAACACCGTTTCTGCCTCGAAATACACAAGCTTTTACCTTTTGCCAAGGGAATCAGCTACAGGGAATGAAGCCTCTTGACATCTTGGCTTCTCTGCCAACAAAGTGCTTCTGAAACTATAGCTAGTCTGAACACTAAGGAAAAGGTCTGAAACAACACAAGTGCTACAGGAGACTCATAAAAAAAAGAAAGCATTTTGTAGATTATATTTCAAGGGGAGGGGGGAAATTACCAAATATATACATATATATACATATATATATATATATTTTTCAAGTTTTCCATTTGGAACGAAACCCAACAATTCTGACATGCCAAATGTCACCACACCTGCTATTAGAGCAACCAGCCTTTCCTGCAAGCCCTGGACAGCAAAAAGGCAGCCTCAAAACCCCAACGGAGCACATCCAGTGTTGAAAGAGTCATGGAAATGATGAAGCCAAAGTCTACCAGCATTTACTTTATGGCACAAAAACTGTACCTTGAGGAGAACAGCACTGGCCAAATTACAGGGGGAATGGTGGGTGAACGTTTTTACAAAGAAGTGGTGTCACCAACAGTCTAAGTTTCTTCCTCTTTACCATTATTTTACCGCTGAAGGGCTGCAGAATTGTCTCTGCTAAAAAAGGCACCAGCATTTTAGTCTCATGGTTACTTTACAAAGAACACAAACTTGCACTCAACCCACTCTGCCAGAAGAAAGCCACATCCCTCTAAGGTCTTCATTACAAATTAAAGTTGAGCCCAGCTTAATTTTTGAGAGAACTACTATGAGATTACAACCAAGGCAGCATGAATTTCAACATGCCCGGAACAGGAAGGCAGGGGGAAAATCTGACATGACAGATCCATCTTCTGAACTCCCAATGGAGGTGGGTTCTTTCCCCCCCAGAAAAAAAGTAAGCAGCTCTTTTTATAGCTCATGATCCTATTACTTCTATTGCCAACCACAGAGGACTTTTAAAACCAAAATGAAATATATTAATCCAATTTTCAGCTTTTCAGCGTGTGGTACCATCTACTAATTGGCATAAAAGAGAAGACTGATGAACTAGTTTAGGAATCAGAAGGTAAAGAAAATAATAATCACACATCTACTACAGAAATACTTTCCCAACACCTCTTACATTTCGCAAAGTCCCGTTTCAGCCAAGCAGTACGTATCTGGTCCATGACC